AGGATTTGAACCCACTACCGGGATTTTGGAGATCCCTATTTTACCAATTAAACTACACTCCTATTTATTTAAATCATCCTCAGGTCAATCATCAAGGATAATACTTCTATACTACTCGGATCTTATTTGATAAATAACTCATCCCAGGAATCGAACCTGGATTTGGGTATTAGAAGTACCCTGTTCTATCCATTGAACTAGACGAGCTTTAATGATCTTGATTTGACTTGTGATCAGGAACAAGTCAAATTATTCTACTTCTTTTATAAAAGAATTAAGGTTATTCTAAAAAGGAAGTAATTATTTTTCACTTGAGATATCCATTAGAGTGTTCTCAATAATACCAATACCTGGAACTAAGATTAAGAACCAAGCAAAGTAGAATCCAGTAGACCATTGACCAAGAGTAATAAATGGCTCTTCTACATGTTGACCACCACACCAGAATAGGATTAAGAAGTTTACAACAAATAACCAATAAGCGATTTTCATTAATGGTCGGAATGCAGAACCTCTAATTCTAGATGTATCTAATACAGGCATTGCTAATAGAATTAAGATAGCACCAATCATAGCTACTACACCTCCTAGTTTATCAGGAATCGATCTTAAGATCGCATAGAATGGTAATAGATACCACTCTGGTACAATAGATGGTGGTGTTTGCATTGGATTAGCTGGAATATAATTATCAGCATGTCCCATAGCATTAGGTGCATAAAATAAGAATAAAGATAATACTAAGAAGAATAAGAACCATGATACCATATCTTTGAAAATAAAATATGGATGCATATATACTCTATCCGCATTTCCTGTTACTCCTAAAGGATTATTTGATCCATGCTCATGTAATGCCATGAAATGCATAACTACTAAAGCAGCTAAGATAAATGGTAATAGATAATGTAGACTGAAGAATCGATTTAAAGTAGCGTTATCTACTGAATATCCTCCCCAAATAAATTCTACTAAATCTTTACCAATCCAAGGAATAGCTGATAGTAAGTTAGTAATTACAGTTGCACCCCATAAAGACATTTGTCCCCATGGTAATACATACAATTTCCAAAATAGAAACAACAATCATTTAAGATCGACTCCTTATTTCTATCCCATGTACCTTATCAATAAATTAATCCTCAAGTTCATTTAAACTCTTTCTAATTTATATCACTTAAGGCCTTGTGAAGAATCGTGCTCATTCTTGGAACTCCGACTGTACATTAAGCACCATTTCAGGCACCCATTGGTGACCCAGTCTGTAGCGATGGTATACACCACCGACGGTCTGGAAGAAGAAGTTTCAACTTTGACCGTTTTCACCAATATCGCCAGAGAGATCGTTATTCTCTCCAATACCCCTGTCAGGGTATTCTATCATACTGAATTGTTTTTCTGCATAGATTGCACAATTCTCCAGATAGGACTATAATTCAATATTATTTTTCTAATTTGATATACCATTCATTTCTGAATAATTTATCACTATCAATATATTTACTAATTGTTTTATGGTCACATTTAAAATGTTGTGCCATAATTCGAATACCAGTAAATTTCATAAATACAGTACCATCTTTATTAGAAGCTATAACAGGTTTGGATGAAGCTAATCTATATTTATTTTTCACTTCATCTGTTCTATTTAGAGCTTTTTCTCTAAGTAATAATCTTACAGAATCAGATAATTGTTTACCTCTGTTAAGAGAACCAATTTGTTCTTTTCTTAAATCAGAATAATTATCCTTCATTTTCTGTTTAATCTCTTCAGAATGTGTATATCCTAAAGAATTACCAGCTTCTAATAAGATATTATAAGATGGCAAGTAAATTTGAATCCAATTTGTTTCTAAAGTCATTAAATTAGGATTATTCTTTTTGGTTACTTCTTCTGGATAATATTCCAAAATAAAGAAAGCAAATGAATCAATTCCATATTTATTTAAATCAATAGAAATCTTTTTATTCCCTAATCCCTTAATCAAATGTTTATAAAATCGACTGTAAAACTTATTAGTTACAGCACTTCCGATATAAAAATCTCCAGTTATAGTATTAATAATACCATAAATACCGGATTGATTTCTAGTTTCAGATCTAAGATTTTCTTTATTTTTATCTTGACTAAGTTCTTCGAAAATAAGAATTGGATTTAAATTATAAAGATCTAACCAATATTTTAGTTTAACTGATAGCATTGAATGATTTTGTAGAATCATCATTAGAATATTTAATATTGAACCATTTTAGGCAATGTTGTTTACCTAAGAATCCAGTAATAATCATAACTAGGAAAATAATTACACCAATTGACCATAATGCAACTCTTGGAGCTTTATATGAACCATAGTATAAACCTTTACCAATATGTAGATAAACAAAGAAGAAGAAGAAAGAAGCTGTATTCGCATGAAGATATCTAATCATCCATCCGTAGTTTACATCT